TGCTCCTGTCACCTCCGTGTCCTTACAGGACAGGTTACTGATGTATAGGTCTCCAGGAGGAACCAGTAGGAGCTCTGGGGGAAGCAGATGATGGGACACTCCTGGAAGTATCTGTTTCCCAGATGCCGCTAAGGAGTTCAGGGTTACATTCCAGGCTTAGCTTTGGTTGAGGGGTAAGACAAGTCTCAGAGGTTTTGCTTCATTATGCAGAAAAGGGTAAGAGTTAAAAGAGAACTACGGGGTAAGTGTTTTCCCCCATAGTTCTCTTTAGAGTCACGGGAGGACATATACTAGCATCCTCCCGTGACCCAAAGCTCAGTATATAGAGAGCTACAGCTCGCAGTATACTGAGACCGCCGCAGCCGGGATGGATCCTGGCATTACTGTCGAGATCCACCCAGCTGCGTGAGTGACAGCTGGCTCTGCCTATCTAGAGGCAGAGCCAGCTGTACCCGCCCCCTCCCCCGTCCGTTCCGCCAGTCAGCGCTAGAGGATGGAGCGGGGAATCCCTGCGTGGGAGCGGTGACTGACAGTCACCGCTCTCTGCAGTGATAGGATCGAGAAGTAAGTGAGCGACGGTATGTGTTCGCTCACTTCGCGATCTATTGAGCCGACTTGTAACAGTTAACGACGTGTAAACTTAATTTTAGGAGCAGACACTGAGGCTAGGTTGTTGATCTTTCTTTATGAGCCCATGTACCTCTGTCTGTCTTGTCCCCATTGGTCTGGACATGGGCAGTTAATTGCTGTCTACATGTGTGTAATTCTGCTTGTGCACCACAAGAGGGAGACAACTCACCAACAGTCATTCAGCTCTATACATTGGCTGGTAACAAAATCATCTACTGAAAGTTTAAACCTCTCAGGATATGAATAAGGGGGCTGGTTGATTTTTGAAGGTGCAGGTTCCTGGACCACTAACCTGATCCTTCCTTTGTTACTTAGCGAGTCATACCCTAAAATAAGCACCTCTGTGTCAAGTGTTGGGACTCTTCAATGGCTACTACATGCTTGTTTCAAGTCAGTGACTCACAATTTTAGAATGGATCATATTAGTGGTGTGTTTGGTCCCTTTGAAAACAAGTGGTGGCAGCTGCCATGGTTTTATCCTTTTAATGTCCCTTTAGAAGGCTAGCCAATCATTGGCTCTTCCATTGGGGTGAAACGACAAATCTCGTTGCGTTTGTTTATATTGGCCCTCACATTGTTCCAATAAGAAAACTATAATGCCGAGTTTATTTTTGTTTTAAATAGAGCGTGAAAGGTTTTTTTTGTTTGCTGTCTCCCATAATATTACTATTAATAGTAGTATTAATAATAGTAGTAGTAATAATAGTAGTAGTAATAATAATTATAATAGTGGTTATTAATAATAATATTAAATATTATTCTAAATATGAATACAGATTATTCTAAATATTATAAAAAATTATACATATATTATATATAACAATATTATTGTTAATACTAATAATAATGATAAGAGTAGTAATGATATCCTATAAATAAAT